ATACAAAGCGGTGTATAAAAACACAGAGGGTAAAAAATGTGAGGGTCTCGGCGCTTGATTATGTCATCATAATTAAGCACATGTGATGTGACGTCAAGTTAAGACAGCCCCGCCATTATTACCAATGCATTGTTGTGTGTGCTCTTTCTTGTAACACTGCTAGAGCTCCCTCGAACCTTATTTTGTGTTGTGCGCACCCGGTGGTCTGTCTGGAATGAAAAAAGCGTTTGTGTTTAAGAAATAAAAGAAAAATGTGGGGCAGAAAAACATTGGAGGACAAATCGAATGTGCACAAATGTGCGCCGCCCTGCTAAGTAACACGGACGCCGTACGACCGGGCCGCCCTTGCGCCGCAGTGAGTAAATTTCAAAGTAAATTACGTCTGCCCACTTTAGAGACTCTTACATGGAGTCCCATCAAGCCGGCTTGTTGTTGTAAGGCTAGGCGCAGAGGCACTGTAGATCACATCATTTGCCACCCTGCCTCGGCAGACCCCCCCACCACCTGCAGTAAAAGGAACTTTTCAGCAGAGACATTGTGTTTGGCGACATCTCAGTCATCATCCACCTCCCAGAACAAAGAAATCATCCCGCAGTAAATCCATCACCCAGGTGTAGATACATTCCCTGCTCCTACTCTCTGTTTCTATAGCTATGTCTCTTTTTCTCTCTTCTTCTTCTTTTGCTGTTTCTTCCTCTCTGACCGGGCCCCTCTTCAATTGAAGGTGAGATTGTGATGGATAGAGGCTGCAGTCGCTGCACAGCCAGCTAGCCCAGGAGACCTCGGGGTCCTCTCGCAATGCAACATGGCCGGTACCACCCACTGCATCGACGGCTCTGTCGCACGTCGGGCTGAAAATAAGACTAATGTGTCACACGCACCGCACACCGCAGAGCATGCAAGCGCAAACATCGGCATCTGTTGACACCTTCTGCATAAGCGTCCTTCTCAAGTATAAGGAAATCAGCCTTAGTTTCATACGCACACATACACATCTCCTGTATACAACATCTTGCCAGCCCCACTCCTCCCCCAATCCACCCTCCAACATATACACAACGGCTCATCAGGCAGGAAAATCAAAAGAGCGCTCTCCCCAGACTCAAGGAGCACTGCGGCTGTTATTGTACCAGAGCCTGTTAATGATCAGCATCTGTTCCCCTCTCTGCTAGTATTAGCTGAGCTGCTACTAAACAAGGCTTCTTTGTGATTCTGCATCACCTAAGCTTCCTCAGCCTTACCTGACTCAGAAGATGGTCTGTCACCCCCATCCTGGCTCGAACTCTTCTGCTGACCGTGCTCGAAAAGTTTGGTTTTGAGACTCATCTGAGAGACGTATTAGGCATATGCCTCTTGTAGGGTGATCGCTCAGTGTATGCAAATATTTACTTGCTGCGCTGTAGCTCGAAGTCATATGTTTAGTTGCTGCAGGCCAATGTATGCATGCACAGCCTTTGATAATAGACAACTAGGCGGTTATATACAATGTCACTGCTTTCACAGTTGGCTTAGTTTTTAGCTGTGGTCTTGTTAACAGCCCATCAATGCAAATTTACCGTCTGCACTTAAATGTAAGTGACATTTAAAATAATACCCATTTGATCTTCATTAGCATTCAGACATAATCTTTAAGTCAGACTCAAAAGTTCCACCCAGACATTTTTTTGACCCCCGTCAGGAGCGACAGCCGGCTGTGAGGTTGGCAGATTTCTTTTAAATTAACAGCCCACCTTTCAAACTTGCACTTTATCCCCTCCCCCTCCTCTATTTATTTTTGAATCAATGCCCGGCAGTCCCGAGAAAGAGGACAATCCCTTCGGGAAATATAGAAGCCGCAGTAGCTGATCGTTATGTTTTGATGCAGTAATTATGTTTAGTTATTAAATCAAGATGTTGCTCTCTGAACCACACGCTTTACATATAGATGGTGTCTGTTTTTGGAAAGTCTGCTTCTCCTCGCTGGTAGCGGAGTTATCAGAATAATGGCATTTTCCTTCTTCTGATTCCAGATGGGATTGCACTGGAAATCACTCATGCGGACTTTGTTAGATGCTGTATCTTTTGAGCCACGGCTCACAACATTGCTCCAAGGCCCATCGGCCTTGTTAGCATGCTTGTATTAGCACTGACCATTATGTTTCAATTGAGTCTGTTTAATGGGATTTTGAATGATACATTATTTAGCTTTCACTCTTAGTAGATGGTTATAATTGAAATGAAATGCCAGTGAACAGAGTTTGGAATGACAGAAGATAATGTTCCTCTACCGTTAGCTGTTTTAGCCATTTGTCCATTACGTTTAGCTAACTTTCAGCTAAATGTTTCAGTGTGTCAGGTGTTACAGCCGACTCTATGTGGAAATAAATTAAATAAATGCAACGGTTGGGACGTTATTGAGAAGTGTTTGAGGCATCACCGGTTTGTTTGGGTTTTTGGTTTGTCATGTCGGGTTCTAACTGAGACCAAATAACTCAACCATCCTGCAGATTCTGCGGTTTTAGTCGACTTTACCTTTTCCTACTCCTGTCCAATCATCCCTTATGTGCACTTGCCTTTTATGTGCTGATGTAAATTCCCTTTCGTGACTACAGGAGAATAACTGTTGATTCTTATCTCTACCGCTAAAGCCTGAATTTACTGTCAGCAAACGGCTTTTTAGTGCCCAAAACTGGCTGTGGTGGCAAATTACTTTGTGAAAAGGGAAAATTATCTTAAAGCAACAGTGAAAGTCATTGACCATGTAGTGGTTTGATTGAATTCCTGTTGTGCTGGTCTATGACACCTGTGGCCCTATGCGCGGCTCACTTTGTTTCACTTTGTTGCCCGACCAAAATGAAACAACGGGGGGGCATTTTAAATTGATTCACACTGACTAATTCATGATTCATTTCTGCCACCTGTGGCTCGTGGGTAGTGGTTTATTGGCTGGTGGAGTGAATGCACTTTACCCCACAAAACAATAATGAAAATAAAAGCTTCAGGATTGTCGCTGGTATTCATGGTTATTGTTGTTGTTTTTACCACAGATATTTTTTGTCTTGCCTTTACCAGTAAAATTTATATCGATATAAAAGAAGCGGTCTTGGCAAAAATCAAAATGCTTCTTGAGAAGATGAAAATTAACTCAAAATTTCTTTGTTTTGTGTTGTTTTTTTCTTTGATGACATGACCAACAGTGGACTGGCCTTGGTTTTATCGGTTTCTCTCATCACTTTTGTTGCAGAACACCGACCCTGTTCACGAAATGCTTCTAGACGTCATTACTTGGGTTGGCATCCTCCTGTCGCTGGTCTGCCTGCTCATCAGCCTTTTCACCTTCTGCTTCTTCCGTGGCCTCCAGAGCGATCGCAACACCATCCATAAAAACCTGTGCATCAGTCTGTTCATTGCCGAGTCCCTCTTTCTGGTGGGGATAAATCGGGGTGACCAGCCGGTAAGATTATCACAACGTTGCTTTATTTCTTTGTTGTGTGCTCGCAGTTAGAATGCAGATCAAGCTAGAACGCATCAATAATCAATATAAGATATTTCAAAATGTTAATAATCGATAGTTATGTTTTGTGTAATAAGTGAGCAATGATGTTGAATTCGGTGTGATGGTGGGAGGATGTTATTCATCTTGTACATAATTATCATTCTGTTCAAATTTCCAGTGTTCACACTGTAAGCGACAAGTTTTATTAATAGCCAAGCACAGGTAGCAACAGTACTCTGCAAAGGTCCTGAGCCATCCCTCATTTCTGAACAATATTTCGCCTGACTTTGGGAGTATTTAAAAGTTTTTCCACCACTTGGTCAGGCCTAAAATAAACTATCAGTTGATGAACAGTTGATGAAGAGGGCCTGAGAGATGCATCTGACCCTGCTGAGGATTTTCAGGAGCAGTTTTGTATCATAGATAGGCATGTGTGAAACAAGATGTAGGCTCTGTTATGATTTCCGTCGGTGTTGTTAGGCATCTTATAAAAAACTAATAGAATTATGAATGTAGAAATCCATCTGCAACTTAAAATGCTATCTGGAAAGCATCCCCAAATTTTGGGATCATCGGGAACTGATCCTAAAAACACAGCCAATGCAGGAAAAGCATACCTGGATAGAACCTGGAACTATCTCTGGAACTATGACTGATACATCTATCAGTCATGGATTGGCCTCCCCATAGCCTGGACCTCAACATTATTGAAGCAGTGTGGGATCATTTTGACAGACAACAGAAGAAATGCAGCCAACATCCAAAGAAGAGCTTTGACCTTCAAGGAGCCTGGAGAACTATTCCTGAAGTCTACTTAAAGAAATATCAATAAAGCTTGACTAATAGTTTTCCTTCTCTGTTGAAGAATAAAGGTGAGCCATACCGGATATTGACTTTCAGGCTTTATAGAGTTATAGACTTGACTTGTATATTGTATTTCCATGTATGTTTCAGTAAGTCACTTCAGCCATTTCCCATTTTCCTTGTAAAATATAAAGAAATGAAGGGTGGCTCAAAGCCAGTGTGTTTCTGCGGACATGAACTCTTACGACTGATACTTCACATTATCACTGAAGCACTGAGGTGCAACATCAAATGCCTGCTCTTCCCTCATTCTTGTTCTCTTAGATCTAGCTCTTAGCTCTTCCTGTTAAAGGGAAGTTCTTCCTCCCCACCTGTCGCCAAGTGCTTTCTCTGGAGCATTTGCCTTATAGTATAAAGCACGCTGAGATGACTGTTGGTGTTGTTGTTCCCAGAATTTCTTATGAACAAAAGGTCATCTAATTCCTCAAACACTGAAACCAGTTTCCTCAGTTTATCGGTTTTAAATATGCCGATAGACGTACCTTTAAAAGTGGAAAACCTGCTTGATCCGAATGTGTCTGCCATCTCCTAGTCCATGGAGGCATTCAGGTAGAAGTGATTCAAACAGCTAAAAGCCACTCTTTTTACTGTAAAACCAGAGCGATGCATTTAAATTGCCTCGATGAATCGCCAGTGAGGTACGTCCACTGTCTTCTTCCCAGTTTTAAGAGCCTAAAATGTTTTGAGAAAATATAACCTTTGGCGTCCTGTGGTGCTGTGAGTGCTGCTTCCCAGCGAGTGTCAGTGGCCGTGGACTCTTCAGCCTCTGCCGGGCTCGGTGAGACGAAACGGCGAAATAAAAGAATCGGATGCTTCTTATTCAACAAATGTTCCCACCTATGGTTGTGCCGAAGCAAACACATACTTGAAAGTGCACTCACATACTCGCACAGCAACACCTGCCAACTCGCTGTCACATTCTCATATCTCGATCGCTGTTATATTATATGCATTCGCCAGCGTGAATTCATCCATTCACCCCCCAACCAGCCTCCTGTTGCAGTTTTTCAATTTGCAAACACTTCAGACTAATCTGGATTAAGCTGTTCAATGCACTAAACCTCCTCCTAGTATAATAACTGTAGTTTGGATGGCATTACTTTCCTCAAGAGCTCAGCTGGGGTAGCAGGTGGAGGCTTGCTGTCACTGTACAGTCATCTTCAAGTGTGCGCGTGTGTGCTCGACACTCATACGGGAGACAAATGCAGAGTCATTACACGTGTACAGGTTGGCAGAGGGATTTTTTTTAATTTCCTCCCACAGCTTCTCGCAATCACGGCATTTCTACTTGCTAATGAGGCAGAGTACACAGTTAGCTTTGCGTTCCTGGGGCACAGACACAGGAATGCACATTATTGCAAACAGTCTTCGTAATAATTTGATCTATTTATTGTCATTGTTTATATCATAAAAGCCCGTCCTCCCATGCTAGTTCACGGCTGGGTTACAAGTGCAGAAAAATGATGATGTCTCGCAGAGAAAGAAAGGAAGTGCCTTTACTTTCTAGCCTCGAGCAATCAAAGCAGATTGATATTTTGCTCTTTAAATATCATTAAAGCTATCAGAACTAAAATAAGCCTCCTAGTTTAGCTCAACTCCCTGTGAAGTTGAAGATAATGCTTTTAGCCCCCCTGCTTCTATAACATTTTATGGGCACGATTCACAGCTCAGCTGTAAGATCGCTCTCCTGGACCGCAGTTAATGTCCACTCAACCTTTTAGTAATTTAATTGAATCCATTTCAGTGACAAAATACACTAGTTATGGTCAACTGTGCCAATGATTAGATGAGTCCATGTAAGTACTGTATCTTATTATTGTTAAGAAGCGCGTGGGCGTGTGCATACATGCGAATGACAATCTATGCCTTCCACATCTGGTCCGGACAGCTCTCTTGTCAGCTCGGAAAGTTTGGAAGCACATTATCTGCTCGTACCTGGCCGTAGCGTTGCTTCAAATGGCTCTTGGACTGCTGACTTCACTCCCTCATATCTCTCTTTCATCCATGCCAGCTGCAGCAAACAAGAGCACATGGGCTCAGTAGTTGCAGCGTTTCCTCTGCCAGTCACACAGGCAAACATCCAGTCACTTCAGCCAAACAAAGCTTAGCAATGCTAATTGTTAGAAAGGTACGAGCACGGAGAGGTCAAAAAACGCTGCTCGTTTGCCGGCACACCTTGCCACAGTTGCTGTACCTTGCAGCGTGACATTTAAATCTTTCAGGAAATTGGTTAAACAGCCAAGAGCGAGTGAAGCTTGTCTGGTTTTTTTTGTTTTGTTTTTTCCATTCCCTATTTACCGCTCTCTCTTTCTCTCTGTCACCACTAAACCTTCCCAGATTGCGTGTGCTGTTTTCGCCGCCCTCCTCCACTTCTTCTTCCTGGCAGCGTTCACGTGGATGTTCCTAGAGGGCGTGCAGCTCTACATCATGCTGGTGGAGGTGTTTGAGAGCGAGCACTCACGGCGACGCTACTTCTATCTGGTGGGCTACGGGGTCCCAGCGCTAATTGTGGCCGTTTCAGCTGCGGTGGACTACCGCAGCTACGGCACTGATCGAGTGTGAGTACATGTGAAGCGAGCGTGTGAGCAAAACTGTCACATTTCTTCAGATGAATTGGATTTTCTTTCTTTACGAAATTCCCACAAAGATAATATTTTGACATGTTTTTAAGACCATAATGGAAAATACTGGGGATAAAATCAATATAAAAATAAAACCCATTACACATCCAGATCAGTGTATTTTGTAATTTTATTTAATGTTAAGCTTTAAAACTACTGCAGTTCTTAATACAAAGACTCATTTTTACACTAGAGGCATGACAGATGTGGGTGTTTTCCAAGCCGTAAAACCTCCGGGGCTGAAAAATGAAGCCAGAAAGTGTCGTTTCCAAAGTTACTCGACCCATAAAATCCAGAACTTGACATGGGAAACACTTGATTTTACATCGTAGACAAAATGGGTTTGAGCTCAATAGCTAATTTCCTCCATAATATGACGGGTGTATATCACGTGCAGTAAGTATTTCCATCTATCCTCCTCTTGTTTCTCCCGCTTATCCAAGCCAATCCAGTGGAGCCTATCCCAGCATTCATAGGACAAGAGGCGGGGAATGCCCCGGACCGGTGGCCACTCTGTCGCAGGGCTAACACACAGAGGCAGACAACTCAAAATCAAACCTATATGAATCACCAGTTAACCAAACCCCACTAACTGCATGCATTTAGACTTCTCTGCCCCTCCACCACATTCTTGAAGTTCGCTGTTTGACCTCTCAGGTCATCAGTGGTCCTGTTCTTTAAAACAAGCTGCTGACCTGAGGTCAATTACACCTCTGCCAACATTCAAATACAGACGACCTTATTCACACAGGCCTGCACTCAGTAGCTCTTATGCAGTAGTTTTTATGTTTATCTTCTGTGTTAAGCTTTTACATAGTTTACATTATATATATATATGAGTTTACATATAATGAAATGCCCTATATAAATAAAATTAGCCATTGTGAGAGGAGGCAGGGGCACCCAGAGAAACCCTGCACAGACACAAGGAGATATGGTCATCTTATATAATTCAACTAGACCCTGTTGGTCTGGTGTTGTTGGTTTTTTAAGCCATTTAGAAGTAGCCTGCTGGACAGTTAAATCTATAACAGCCCATCCAAAAGTGAGTGAAATATTATTTTGAGTCTTTGACTTGCACTGATTAACAGGTATGGCTTGCTAACCAAGCTTGGCAGCCTTCGCTGCTAACTCCATCCTCTCTTCCAAATATGTGGCTCCAAAGGAGGAAAAAAAACTAGATGAAGCTGGCCAAAATGCTTATATCAGGGCCTCTGATCTTCTTGATGGCTTTTCCATCAAGAAGCCTCTATCAAAAGCCAATTTTCTATACCAGGGATCAAAGCCTTGGGATATTTTTTTATTTCTTTTTATCTATGCATCATTTTTTGTCAGCTCCTTTTGTGAATTATTGTATCTGTTGTGACTCCCCCAACGTTTTCTAGGTGAAAACCCACAATATAGAACATTTCCACATGTTCATGCGGCATGTTGGATCCAATACAAACGTTAACCTGAAGAAACGATAAAAGCGCTATATAAGGAGACTGACTGTGATGAAAAACACTGCCAGCACCTTGTATGTGTTTGCGCTGGTTTGAAGAGCTTTAATAATCTCACAGATGACACTCCAATAGCTATCACTCATCCTTCAGCTGTTACTTAAGATGAGTGCGTTTCCCCTTTTTTTGCTGAATGGACATTGTTTTGACAGTGAAAAATGCTAACTCTGGGAAAGTTCAGCCGAGCAAACGGCGAGCTGTTGTAGTTGGCGTCTTAAGCGAAATTACCAAAGAGGACGAGAAAGGTTCAGCGGGGAGGCGAGAGGGAGTGTGAACATGGAGACTGGCAGAGAGAGAGGAGATTAACAAAATGATGAGGAGTGACGGAGACTCCCGTTTTGTGTTTTCCTACACGAGCTGCAGAAGATATGGTTCCCTGGCTCTTCTCTCTGAAATGCAGCGCGGTCTATAAAGCGGTGCCAAGCGGAGGATCACTCTCCATTCCTCTCAGTTAATCTCAAACCGATCTGAAAATAATGAAGACCAGCATCAGCAGTTTGCTTCTCTGATGTTTATCATAAACGGCTCGCACACATAGGCTTCCACACATAAGCAACTGGTAGACGGCGCATTTGTAGATTGGTGGAGCAATAGTTCTTAGTGATGGATGAGGCGATAGCTGCCACCGCCTGAGCCTTGGCATCATGTGAATAATTAAAGCCTGCCACCGGTGGAACAATTATACGCAGCCATTGAAGGATGAGGGGAAGGGACGAGGCGCGACACGTGGCGAAGATCAGGAGGTGGGGGACGGCGCGTGGTCCTGCTGCAAATTGATTTTTGGTACCGCGGTGGCGTTATCGTGGGTGGTGTCGTTTGAGTCGAGATATCCAACAAGTTGCGGTGAACCACGCGCCGCAGATGAATGAAGCGATCTCGAGCGATTCATATTAACTCAACACATGAAAAAAAAAAAAGCGCTACAGCAGCCTGAAGGTCAAGCTAGCTTTTGAATTCTAGCTGTCCAAGATTGAAAAGGAAACGCTGATCTGAGTAGGGTTTCCATCCAGCTACTTGGGCAATTACTCTCCAAATGTGCCCTTGAGCAAGACGTTAACCCTTGTCTCGTCCAGGGAGGCTGCTTTAATGGTCAGCAAACAAGGACACGAGTCTGTGTGATTTCTCCAGTTTAATGAAAGTAATACATCACACCACCTCGAAATTTAAGGGGTAGACTCAGTGCTACTGAATTACTAAAGTAATTCAGTAATCTACGTACAATAGTTGGTTAATCGTTTTCATCCCATTGGACGTGCAGAAAAAAGGTTAAACATCGTGAGCGGGGCCTTGTGGAGTCTTCAACTGTTTAATCTGGCCTCAAATATGGCCCAATCCAGTTATTTATTATTAATTAATTATTAATTATTAATTGTTTCAGCTAATATTTTTAGACATGTGTTATTAACACTGTCATGGTGCCATTGAAAAAGGTACATGAGGCTAGTTTACCTAGAATTGGATCTGGAAGGGTTTGTATGGCACTGGAATTTAGACTTTGCTAAGTCTGTGAAGGTTCTCAGTCATCCAGGTCATCGTACTCTAAAGAGCTTGGAAAGAAAAGCGTCTGGACTTCTTTAAGTTGCTTAAAGACGTTTCACCTCTCATCCGAGAAGCTTCTTCAGTTCTTGGGTCAACTCTCCACCATTTGATCCTAGAACTGAAGAAGCTTCTCAGATGAGAGGTGAAACGTCTTCAAGCAACTTAAAGAAGTCCAGACTTTGTTATATGTACTTAACATGGACCATACGAGGAGCTCCATGGTGTAGCAGATGATATTTTTGCCTTGCGTGCAAAAGACCAGCGATTTAAATCTGAAAATCAGAGAGTCACAAGCTAATGCACTCCCACTCCCATTCCAAGGCTAGATAATTGGGAGGGTTGCATCACGTTATCCGTTGTATAATGTGTGGCAAACATGCAAATCCATCTGTAGCCAAAGGCAGCTTACATAACATCGACGGCACAAAGTAAACTCCCCTACATGTGTTTCTGTATTTTTTTCTCAAAGAAAATTGCACATCTTCATGAGGTACCTTTTTAAAAAAAAAAATAGAAAAGTTAGTTTCTTGATAGCTCGATACTGCTGGCCTAAATTTGTGGCATCAAATTGAAAATAAGCTTAACACCAACCAACTGGTAGCAAAGGGTGCTCTTTAATATAAAATTAAAACAAATATTTGAATCCCAAATATCTGTTGAGATGATCCAAAACACATAACACTGTCTAATTCAGAACAGTTTTGCTTTTATATGTATTATTTGAAATAGTTTAACACAGGGGTGTCGAACTCCAGGCCTCGAGGGCCGGTGTCCTGCAGGCTTTAGATCTCACCCTGGGTCAACACACTAGTTCATTATCAGGCTTCTGGAGAACTTCAAGACATGTTGAGGAGGTCATTTAGCCATTTAAATCAGCTGTGTTGGATCAAGGACACATTTAAAACCTGCAGGACACCAGCCCTGGAGACCTGGAGTTCGACACCCCTGGTTTAATGGTTTCATTATCAAATCTTAAAATATGTAAAGAGCTTCTTTAGTATTTAGCGTAACGTGTCCACAACGTAGGCAACATAAGTGTTGGTTATTTTGTCGATTTTATCTGTTTTTGTGGTTCTTCTATGCATCAAATTGCATATAAAAACTACATAACTGCACTGTTAGGATTCAGAACTGGTACATAGTTTAGCTCAGCTGCTTATTTTAGTTAAACTTATTTTAAGTAGGTCGTGTGATTTGGACGCAGTGGGAGTTCTGTTAACTCCAGAAAGTTACAGATCACTCTTTGAGGCAAAAAGTGCTGCAGAACTTCACACTGAAGAGATGATTTAACTCATCTTCTTAGCCTACGTATCTCACATGCCTTTTCTCACCCGTTTGGTCATTGGCTTACTGTCCCTGCTTCGGGGAATAAGAGTAAGGCTCCTTGACTCTAAGGACGGTGTGGCAACAGAACAGGCTGTTGGCATGAACATGGGTTTTTTTTAAATGGCGCACCGGCACTTTTTTGTGTTTGTTTGTTATTGTTCACTTACTGTAGGAGTAGTGCAAAAACTAGCACACCAGGAGGGGAAGATAAAACTGCTCCAAAAGCCTAACACGAGCATAACATAAGTGGAGAAGGATAGGTAAGAGGAGGAAAGGGAAGAAAAAAACAAAAACAAAATGACAGCCTGCAGCTCCTGCCGCCTACCGAGTCTTTAAATCGTTCTATGATCTGAAGAAGAAGGCGAAAGGAACAATGGAAGCTTCAGTTTAATTTATAACAGAGTCATTCAGAGCGTGCGCTTTGATGAGCTGCCAGAGTTCTCCGTGTGTTGTTGGGCTTTTGTTTGCTCGCCGCTTTATCTGTCCATATGTGTTTTTCTGTGATGCCTCGTCGCATCCATTGATACGAGCGAAGGGGAGACATATCAAGTCCCAGTAATAGCAAAGGAGCAGTCGATTTTTGTCCTGTCACTTGTTATACAGTATTTTTTCTTGTTTCAAAGTATTGTCTGCGAATATATTTATTAAATTTTCTTCAGACAGGAAGAAAAAAGAAATGCACACAAAGTGGCAGCTAAGTCTGTGGGCACTGCTGTAAATACTGTAGATGCTCAATTTTGGGGGGATTTTGGATGCAAAAATAAAAATGGACTTTGACATCGCCTTCGCTCCATATAAGAAAACAAAAAACCATTTTTTTAAGTGTATTTTTCACCTCCAACTTCAATGGATTTGAAACGAATTCTCCGCCGCTTCCATTTTCCCCTCCCCGTCAGCCCGAATGACAACAGTGCTGTATGGACTGTAATTTTGCAGTGGCCAAAAATGGAGCCGTCTATCTGCTGCTGCGGCGGAGATTAAAAGATTAATAATTCAACCACAGGTCATGAATCATGTTTTTTTTCCTGTATCTTTTCTTTTGCCATTTTTAAGGAGCGCTGTCACCTTCTGCTCCTGCTCCGTGTTCGGTTTTCTTCAGCCGAGAGGAGAATTGACTTCCCACAATGTTTTGATGTGAAGCGTGAGGTCGGGAAAGAGCCTTATCTCATTATTGACATAATTATAACAGTCCCGCACGGAGTCGCCGCGGTTTAACACGAACACGTAAGGCACTTTGTTGAGAGCTTCAAGACCGTGCGTGCGGCCGTGTCTGTCGGGGTCAAGGTCAATCCAATTCCTTTGGAGTGATACAGTTAGGATTCAATTGAGAACAAATTAAATCTCCATACATTATCATCCTTAATGGCGATTTAATCAGAGTGGAACAAGAAAAGAACTAAACTCTGGTAGTTTCCAACCTTCCTTTGTGGGTTTATCCATAACGTGTTCGTGACTTTTCTCACTTTGAATTGTGCACATGTTTTGGCAATAAAAGGACGTCGTTATGGCTGTCACTGGCACTGAAAGCTCCCCTTTCCTCTGAATTCCAGTGCTCATAATTCTTTAGGCCACTTGCGGCAATCTGTGATTTGAAGTACCCATTCCTCTGTGTCACTCTCAGACTCCCACTTGATGTATATCCTCTGCGCAGGAGCATAGCGCAATAACCTCAAATCCCCCCAACCGCCCACTCAACTCATATTCACCCGTCCTCTCTCTTACTTCAAATCCCCCTCACCGCTCACCTTATTTCTGTCTCTTTCAGTTGCTGGCTTCGCCTGGACACCTACTTCATTTGGAGTTTCATAGGACCAGCAACCTTGATAATTATGGTAAGCGTCACGAACCCTCCTTACCTCTCCCCCCTCTGCTCATTAACCCTACTTAGCCTGCGGGTCGTCGCTTAAATGGTCCACAGAGATCCCTTTTTAATTTTTTTTCCTAGCTCCCATCGCCCTCTTCTCTCTGCCCGGTTGAGCATACATGCCACCGCCGGGCACGGAGCCGTCCAGAAAAACGAATGAGGGGTGTAGAGAATATATTGGAGTTTGTCACCCTGCCGCAGTCGCCGGCTGAGACGATTTTGGGGGGTAGTGGGGGGAGTGAGATACAGAGCGATAGAGAGAGAGGGACAAAGAGAGCGAACTCTGCTCAGTATGCAGCGCTGGAGTAATCCGCACTGCGATTATGATTGATTTTGTTCTCGTTCCAAGTCCTACTCCACTACCTTTTTTTTCCCTAACCATCTCTTCCTCGCAGCCACACACTCAGCCCTGGACATAGATGCGTACAGTATGTGGTATGCAAGCACACACACACGCTTTTTGTGCCTTTCCCAACTAGGACAGGGCCTCATTTTCTCCCAATAAAACAGCTCATTTATTGATCCAAATCTGATGTAAGACCCACATTCATCTCAGTATTTACACTAATGCCGAGCACTAAAATACTGCTTTGTCACCAGGAAATGCGCTCATAATTTTCCAAAAACACCAGTCAGCCATGACGCTAAATATCCGGCATTGGCACAAAACTTATAGATATCTTTAACAACAAAGAAAAAAAAAAAGAAGTCACAATATGCTTGTCCAATAGGATTATTTCCTGAGAAACGCATCTCTCGCTGCCCAGCTGCGATCTGGCTGTCAAATCCAAACATGCATAATTCACTTTCACGCTCCAGTTTGGCGTAATCATTCACAATGCATCTCTGCGTGCCTCATGACTCACTCCTTTCTCTCTCCGATTTATAAACAAGAATATCCATCTCGTTGGAGAGAAGGCCTCGGCTCGGTTCCAGTTCTGCCCCTGAAAATTTGGCGAGTGTTTGGACAAAGGTGCAATTTTTAATTCTCCTCGTCTTACGTTAGCTTGAACGCTACCTGCAAATCGCCAATGAAATCCACCTAATTGCTGTAATTTGGAGGGAGCCATTCTGAGCAAACCCACATGACCAGAACTGACTCATTTTCTTATTATTGTTCTAACTGACTCAACAGAGAAAATGCGAATAAAGTGACAGACCAGAGTCGGTCTGCTTAATGTGGATTGTTTTTTTTTTAATAATTCGAGCAGTCGGATATAAGACCGCCAATTAATTTCCCTCTGTAATTACAGCGTGTTTGACAAACACAGGAGCAAAAGTTCAACTCGCTGAGATGTGCTTGACTTTCTTTTTAAGTTTTATTTACTTGTCTGCTTTTTGAACAGAAACAGGAAAAACAGGAAGTAAGAATAACCATTGAAGTCTGCCGCAGCTTGCGATGCCGTAAAGGCTCAAAGTTTTCTCGTTTGCACAAATTTCATTTATTTATTTTTCCAAATGCAAAGAGGAAAGGACGGTAATTCCCCATGGCTGCCTGTAAGTGTGAATATGATGAGACAAGTGTGAATAAGTCAGATGAAAGGCTCCGCCGTGCAACTGTGCAGCTGCCTCGTCTCACCGGTCCCTGTTTAGTCCGATAGAGGTTTCATAGGATTTTGCGCTCTGTTTGGCAAAGTGGGAAACCGAGTCTGGCCGCACTGTTCCAGCTTTGTGCTACAAAGTGCCCTGATTTAAAATGAATGGACCAGTAACGGAAAACACACAGGCTTTGTTCCCATTCTTCTCTGCCTCTCTCGCTTTCCCTTCTCCTTGCCCCCGTAAAAATCCGTCTGTTTCTCTCTTCCAGCTCAACGTGATCTTTCTGGGCATCGCTCTCTACAAGATGTTCCATCACACAGCCATCTTGAAACCAGACTCTGGTTGCCTGGACAACATCAAGTAAGAGCACTCAGATCACCCAGATATCCATTAGAGTCTCCCAGAAATAGCACTGCTTGTTTTTTTACGGGAGGGAAAGAATGTTTCCATGTGAGCGTGCTCGGCTCGCTTCCGACCAAACGTGCTTTTTCACTGACGGCTCGATTGTGTCTCGTATGAGTCGTCTCGAGTTGACTTTTTCCACCCGTTTCCTTCGGTTTAATGAACCCCTGGTTAAAGAGCAACTTTTGTGTGGTACTTTGTATTCAAGGCTCTGTTTCCGAGCAGTTCCCTTTGCCTTGCCTCCACCTTTTGATATTTCAAAACCTCATTAAAAGCACTTAAGGTTGCAAACACCCAACCCAAGGGTGCGGAAATCTGAGCTTACATGGTAAGCACCTCCCATTACATTGAAAGGTTGTGTCAGATGGGGTTAAAATCAAACAGGTATTCTGCTGCGTCTCCATCATTATCTGAAGAAAACTGTTGTCTGCGGAGGAAAAGGCCAGGAGACAATCTGACAGGCCCGACCCGGTGTTATCTTGGTGTCAACACGGCGTAGATGAATATTCATTTTGTGTATGCGTTATGTGTGTTTCAGTCTGTTTATCCTCTTATGCCTGGCTGCTTTCAGATAATGTAAAAACTTCTGGGACAATTATGACTATAACAAAGGTGAAGATTTTCTTTGCTGGTAAAACACTTAGTCTGCAGGTGAGATGAATGACAGCGTTGCAAAGGCAACTAGGGCCAAGGTGGAAAAACATTTCTATTCAAATATGATATAAAAAGTTTTTACTACAGGACAAATTCACTGTATCTGTTACTTTCAGTAGTCGTGCATACGGACATAATCACAAGTAATCTAATCATTACATTAGCTAAATACAACCTCAGATAAAATATAAAATATGATGCATGATCTGATATCTCTGCGTTGGTGTCGTTCCTGGATCATCAAAGCTGATGTTGGTCCAGGTTCAACATTGCAAGTGACCAGTCACGTTGTTGTGATGTCATAGTTTTGCGACGTGGAAACACCAACACACAAAACCTCAACCCCAACCCCATTAACATAACCCTAAACACGATCACATCCGAACCCCTAACCCTAACCTTGACCCTAACCGGCCCATTTTTGGGATTTTTTGTCCTGAGTGCACATCGGTCACATGCAATGCTGAACCTGGACCGACATTAATTGTTATGATTAATGCAAAACACCTACACGGGGGTGTCCGATGCACCAAAACATGACATATTATCATTTTTTATTTAATACCTGGAAACCTTGCATTCATTGAGTCAACCATGAAGTTCTCCGTATACCAAAGTGTAATGGTTTGACTGAAAATTGGCTCATTTCATGCAAGTAGGCACAGCAGCAAATCTACAACATAATGGCTGTAAGGGGGGGGGAAATCCAGTAAAGTCCAGACCTCAACAGTCCTCTTAAGGTCCTCCCCAAATGCCTTCAAACCTCAATGAATTGAATCACAGTTCTTTCACAATGGTGTGAGAGGCTGATAACATCACACAGGAAATGATTGCTTCAAGTTATTGCTGCTAAACTTAGCTCTATAAGATATTGAATCACGGGTTTGTGTTTCGCTTTTCACACACTGCTTCTGCATTATGACTTAGTTTTTGCTAAATAAATAATGTCACAGTGCAATATGTCATGTTGTTGTTTAGCCTGCACTTTCTTTTTACCATAGCTGTATATGCTGCGGTGAAATAATGAGATAGTCTTTTAAGCAGGAGTTCGAGTGCTTGGAAACGGTGAAATTGGTGCGATCGGGAGCAGACACACAGTACAAAAGAGCAAATAAGCAAGTATCACACCAAAAGCACAAACTTTTTTGTGTGATTTTTCCTGTTAGGACATGCCTGTATTTTTTGAGAACACAGCCAATTTATTGATCCACCTGCAGTTATTCTCTTTTGAGACTGATGCTCTTGCATGCAATTAAGCTAGTGCCAAGCTCAAAGCACTGCCTGATCTGTTCCAAGACAACAGTCGGCCATAATAACAAACAGTTAACTACAACTGAGATTGCATACATAACACAGCTGTGTGTTTGCGATGTATTTAATCATAATCAAAACATGTTTTTGCAAAGGAACATTTGTGACCAGGCTACAAGTTGGTATTACCGGTGCAGTGTTGGCAATCTTATCAGCTACGGTCCTGTATGCTAACGCTGCACTGCCATGTAGCAGCTCCGGCCCCAACACATGCTCTATGATTATGCATAAGCACACAAGCAAAACAAAGCACAATACATTAAAAAACCAACCTGCAACATGTCTAAAGCTTTATGCTAATGAATCATGTTGTATAGTAACCTGAGGCTGCATTGGGCGGTTATGACTTCTTTCTTGAGTAGACCTTACATGCCAAGTTGTCTTGTAAGGTGCATGCTTAATTTGTGTTGAGAAAAATTATTAAGTTGTATTAAGCAATGAGCCAACAGGACGACCAAAAGTAAACTTGAAAAATGTCACTGGCTCAAAACGTACCTAACATCAGACCTCCCCTCCTGTTTTCCCCTCAGGCTCCTCCATGGTTATCAAACTGCATGCGTTCACATGGCGCCAGAGGATAGATGAGGGCCACTGCTGCTACTGCCTGAGATTACAACACTGTTAGTGTGTGTTTGTGTTGCACGCAGTAATTATGTTTGCCACAAAAGATTCTGTCTGTATGAACTCATAATTCATATATATGTATATATAAAAAGTAAAAAGACACCCACCCCTGTTGAGACATGCTCTTCTGGTTTCTCAAAAATAATCGGCCGCAGTTTGCTCTACTGTTTACATGTTTTAGTCTCATTCATCATTAGGTGCATTATTTCATTACTTGATTGTAGAAGTTTCATGCGCACACAGAAAGTTTCTGTATTTGCACTGTAGGGTGACATAGCATTTTCGGTCATTGCTTTTGACGTAAGCTCCAGCTACCTGGTGTCAGGGCAGGCTCTTTGCACAGATGGTGTAAAGTTGTTTTGCTGCCTGTATGCTATGATGGATAAGGGTCTCTGCTCTGTTTTTGCTTTCTGCCTCGCTTTTTTTTTTAAGCCACTCTGGACACATTAGTCTGCTTTATGGCCGTGTTGTGGCGGTTTTTTCATGGCATCACATCACCGGTTGTCTCAGCACAGTGGCCCCTGTCTGCCCCGCTCCTCTCAACCAAGTGATACACACATTTAAAAAAAGAAAAAAGGAAAAGAAAAGAAAACAATCTTCAGCAGGCTTGATACGGCAGCCTTTGGTTCCGCCACGGCAGACCCTAGTGTGCCAATGTGCTTTCATATCACAAATTCACTACAGGATTTCTCAGAGCTGTGGTTTTTATATGCTGCTTCTTAGCGGTGCCAAAAAATGTAACCTGGACAATAATAAGCTTTGACTAGTTTTGTGAACTCTGCGAAGCAAATTATTTGCCTAGATTTGAAACTGTGTTTCCCGACTGTTACCCTACATCAGTTCCTCCTACGTTTAACCTCAGCAGTCTTATTCTGGTGTTATGCATTAAAAGCCAATGTTAAACATGAGCTGCTACATGCTATGAGGACTTATTGAAGTTACTATTTTCAGTGGTTCAGCTAACATATATGCTAAGGTTAACAAGCTACCCTACTTAGTTATGCTAAGCTATCACTAAGCTTGGTTAAGAGTGAAGAGTAAAGCCCCATCCAAGTTGGAAGTGATCTGCTTGTAGCACATTGCTTTGTAGCTGACAGTTGTTTGTTAATGGACATCCCAGTCTCAACTAGCTTACGCTACAGAGGCGGCGTGTATTCCCTGATGGTTTGGTTTGAGATTAGCCACAAAGAGGGTGTTGCACCAAAAACCTCCTTATGACTTTTGGTTTGGTCACTTGCAGATTCTCAGTTGCCTGAGACACAACTTGTCTTTGAAGAAAGCTTGCCTTCCACTTTTTATAACCACATAGTATCATATTTGGTGAGTGTTTGCAGACCATTAACCGTCTACAATACAAACTACAGGCGACCAGGGATATCTGCTAGCAGCTAAAGCAATCGCAAAGAGGTTTTCAGTGCAGCACCATTTGAGCAGTTTCGCCTAGCAATAGCAGGCACCGTCTTGCAACCTCTCACCAGCTAATGAATTTTTGTCTACCACCCTTAATGGATTCTTCCTTCAATTACTCATCTCAAAACTGGGAAAAGTTAACTATGGACCCACTCATTTTGCATTACTGTTATTTTGCAAGTCACTGAATATCACTGACATCCTAGATTCCTCGTAAGGACAAATAAAACTATCCATTAATCCATTAGTCCCAGATAATTGTGCTGTTATAGCATAACTGGATTTCTAACACATTCAGTAGCACTGACTCTATGTACGTATAATTCCTCGTGCATTCACACAGTATTGTTGTTAGGTTTGATATATCATTTGCACAGTGCTGTTAGAGTTAGGGGAATTATTTCCAATGAGCGGTGTCACAGGGTAAGTTTAATAGTGCATCTAGTAATGCAAAATTAAGTTGCTGGTGCAGACTAATGAATGTTCACCTAACTAAGCCTAACCTTGTTCGTTTCTCTTTATTCTGCAATCCTTTGTCAAAGCTATAACGAGATTTCTATACTTAATCCAAACTTGACACCTCCTGCAGCGGCTTCATGGTGAAAGCCAATCAGTGCCACCTCATTTCTCCAAGTGTTTCAGGATTTTCTTGTTATTTGTGTTGGCAGCTCACTTTTAAACGTTGTAACATATGGCCTCTTTCTGTGTCCTCCCAATCTTACAATCTCACAGTATGTATTCTGCTCACAGGCAGATCTGCTTCGAGAAACCGACATGCTTAAACAATAGATTCTGCACATTTACTGCACGTTCACACCAAGACATATGCGTAGTATGTGTAAGGAGAGGCACACGGCCAATCTCGAACATCTACTATGAAGCACAAATGTGCCATGTTTCAGATATTTGGAGAAGCAGGACACCTGCTGCCCACACAGACCCTGTGCCTAGACTGCTCA